ATTGTCATAACTAAGCCATATTTTTCCACCGTAGTGACATTGTAATACACACATACACACACACAGATTTGTAGCATCTGTGCCGTAATTTTTTATGAACATTTGTATGTACTAATATAGAAAATTCTCAAATCTTCCAGCAGGCGTGTTAACCTCTCACAATGTGAGATTTTGGATTCTTTTGTAAAACTCTCATAACTGTGTATTCTGGAAACGTATCTGGAAATGTTCCTTTTTTTTTTTTTTTTTTTTTTCCTCTCATTTTTCTGTGATGAGGGAGATGTGTCTTTTCTATCTTTACATTTTAGCCCGTTTCTCAAAATGTGTTCTTGTGTTTAGTGGAAGTCACCCCCAGCCTGGGGTGCAGTTTGTGCAAGGTGACAATGTGGGCTGCAAAAACTTCTGCAGCTGCTGTCTCCTGTTGGCTGGGTATATACTGGGAGCTGCGGAAATACATCTGTTGCAGAAAGAAGAATGGTGAACATTCACACCGTGCCACTATTGTTTAGTTCCAGGGTAGGCCCTGGTTTAGCAAAGAATTTTAGACTGAAACCTGCCCCTGTTTGTTGAAACCGTGAAATATATATTGCGGTGAAACTGATCTCAGTGTTCAATTGTCTTACTGAATCGTAACCTTCAATACTTAGGTGTTTCTTCTGAATAAAATTATTTATTTGGATTATTTAAAATTGGGCCTTCAAGAGTTTACTGCGTTTAATTTTTTAGTCTGTTAAAAACAAATGCAATCATTACTTTTCGTCCTTCTCAAAACAATGCATTCAGTGCTGAATCCCTTTTTGAACAGAAAAGAATACTTCTGTGGAGACAGATTCCTTCAAAAGCACCAGTCCGAGGTTATGGAAAGATTTTACGTGAGAATATTTATGCTTTTAACCACATCCTTACACTTTGGATCTGTGTCTGCTTTTTCAAACAATGGCTGTATATTTATTGTGTAAATATTCTCACTGAAGCAAACACAATGTGCAGTGCTACTCACATGTACAATATATAGCATCTCATGTCCACTTAGATTAGAATGCACAGCTTTTAACACTGTTCAAAGATGACAGTATATCTATGGGGAAACACTGACATCCAGAAGGCACATTTCATAGGAAGAGAAATATTAGCAAGGTTTATTAAGAAAAGAAATACTAACTATTCCCCCTAATTTTTAGTTGTCTGAAATTTAAAGCTTCCCCCCCCCTTTTTTTTTTTTTTTTTTTTTTCCCAATTATGCATTTACCTGAGTCTGTGAATGCAGACATGAGAAGAAAAACTGACATTATGTTCTGTAATTTTTTCTGCTTTGGATATATTATTTTTTGAGGGGGATCACTGTTAGTATTTGCTGTTGGTATTTCTGTGTGGTTTCAGGACATGTGAACCAGCGGAGACTCTGTAGATGAAGGAATATCTGAAGAAGATTGCTTAGAGTTTCTCGGTCACTGGAAGACACACTGTCTGAAGTCTCTCTGTCTGTCTGTCGATCTACATATTGTAGTTTAGAGGGAGAATCTGAACATCCCACTCTTCCATTTGATGTAAAGCAACATTGCTTGTCTCCTCAAGTAGTTATGACAGGAACGTTTTTAAGGCTTAAGATTCTGAAGCTTATTTATTTGTAAATTTTCTGTGCGAATTTTAGAAGTATATACATGTTTTTACAAATTAATGTTCTTCATTTTGTATGCTTCTGAATCTCTAACAGAAACCTTTTCAGTTAGAGAATTGCACTGACCTTGCAAAATACCATATGTTGAGTGTACTGCTATTCATCTTATAAACATTAAGTCGTGAATGAATAGGTATTGTGTGTATCCTGTGGTAACTAAAGGAGTTAAATAAAATCTTTTTGATTGCAGCGATAGAAATTAAACATTTCAGATAAATTACTCTCTTTTTGGTTAAGAAGCATTATTGCTTTGTGTTATTTCAGACATGTGGGTGTGTACATCATGTAAAGTCATTTTTCTTTCAGAATCTGGCTTAAATTCTGAAATCACAGAAAATCAGAGTCCTAGCCAATTGTATGTTCTTAACTCTTATGTAGCAGTATATGTTGGTAGGGGAGAGGACTCAAATCGTGTACTAGTCTCAGCAGAATCTAGGACTAGGAAAGTAAGTGAAAGATGGATATTTCACCCTAACACTCTGTTTCTTTGCTTTGACAGTTTAACACCGACCTTTCATGTAGTTTTAATGTCTCTTCGTGTGGCTTAACTCCTTTTATTTTTATGGTAGAGAAACCTATTCACCAAGTGCAGAAGTATGAGAATAGAGAAAACACACCATCATAAATAAATAAAGGAAAATAAAAGATATGCCAGTGGCTTAACTGGGGTTTCTCCTCAAGCAGATATTTAGATGGTTATGTGTAGCAATTATAAAAATACATATTTATGCAATTTAGAATAAAGTAAAGAGATGCTAGCAGATAATTCACATGGATTTGTATGAAATACTGTATCAACTATAGCAACGTTCAGCATCTTACAACAGCATCTTCCATGTGTTTATTAAAAATATCAGGATATGAAAATTAGAGAAAATTGGCATAGTTCCATTGAGGTTAGTAAGAAGATAGCTCTTCATAAAAGCTAAGAATATGGGCCCCATCAGCTTGCAGTTTCTAATTGGTGACTGTCTGCTGATCATTACTAAGATTTTTATTTTTTTTAAAAGAAAAATGCCAGATGGTAACTGTCCATTTTTATGCATTTGGGCCTTTTAGATTTTTTAAAATTTTATTTTGAAGTCATTTCAGAATCAGAAACCATATTCTATAACTGTTATTTACCTTACTGAAACTTAAAAACGTCTTTCACTGTTAGAAATGACTGAAAACAGGTGTGTTTAATGGGAGAGCTAAGAGATCTTATGCTGTAGCCGTGGGAGTGGATTCTACTTGCATACCTAGAATTTAGAGCTGCAGAGGTAGTGTAGTGCCCAAATACATGCAGAGTGTTTGAACAGCAACGTTATTACAATACAATAGTTCTTTCACTATTTCTGTATTTTATTATTTATTTTATTAACTAAGTGTGTTTTTTAAAATACTTTTTTCTCATTTTCTGATGCTTTTTTGACGTCTTCCTGGCCTTTGGCTCCAGAGTGATTTCTCTAGTGACTTCTGTTGCACTTGGTATTCACTAGTCCTCTTAAACATATCAGAAAATACTTTAGGCTGAGGCAACCTGTAAGGAATTTTGCCCTGCTTAACGTTTTTTAAACAGAAAATAAAATTGTTTTCTAAAACAAATTGATTCTTAAAGGACAAATGAAGGGTGTAGTGGTCATCTTAAGGTTCAACACTACCCCAATACTCCCAATACTTGGTGGGCTACATTTCTATCTTATCTTAAGAGATCAGACTGAAGTAGTTAGGGGCAGCATAAATTGCAATTGCAAAGGTGAATACAGAATGCACTACTGGCCATAATACTGTTACCTTTCTAAAAAGAAATATTAAGACTCTTCAAAAAGTGTTCATATTACAGTGAGAGAAGACTGTTTATTTTTCAGAAAAGAAGTTTCAGAATAAATTAGCAACTGTGTACAAAAAGAAGTTTAACTCTTGCTCTCCCCCTCCCAACTCATCAAGACATCAGCTTTGTAAACGTGAAAATATATATTTTCTTCATATTGCATAGGAGCAGAAGTGCTTTTTTTTTTTTTTTTTCTTTTTTTTTTTTCCTGGCTTTCTTTCAGTATCATATGATGGCAGGCCGTAGCCCACATTTCAGCATCACTTTCTGCACAGTTCACCTACAAAGAGGCATTTTTTTCCTTCAGTCTCTGAAAACTGTTCACAAGCCATGCTTTTTCTACCTTGACGTGCTTATAAATGATCTGCATTGCATTATCATGGTGATTTTTTTAAGCTTCTTTAACAAAACTGGAGGGAAATGTGTACAAGTATGTTTTCTGCTTTGCAATGAAAGTGTACATTTATCACTTAGGTACATGTAAGCCACTTCTGTGAATTGGGCCCTTGGAGTAAATGTGTTTTGATGTAATGGCCATCTGCTCATGAATATCACATTTGCTAGTTTAAAAAATAGTTTGATATAGATAAACACATAGTTTGGTAAGATTATATAGTTTCACCAGGTGGCAATACAATAGCAAAGTTTGATATTTGCTGTAAGCCAATAATCAAGCTGGGAGGGAGGTTTCAAGGTAGGGTGTTTTTGTTGTTGTTGTTTTCCTTTTAAAAATTCATCTCTTATATTTACTCTTAGTTGCTGACTGCTGTTTTCCAAATGGTAAATGCAGCACCCACATCAGATCATACCAGGAGGCAAAGTATATCCATGTCATTTAGGAAAACAATTGTAGTCTTGCTTCCCTTTTCACCTTGTTAGAACTGAAAGCTTTTCAGTTCTCAAATGGACCGAGTACAGCCAGTCACCAGGAGGCTCTGGAACAACTGATCTGACACATTTGCCCAGTGTAGCTCCAGTAGAGTCAGCTGTCAGTGACACAGCAATCACCCTTGAGGCTGTAGCTGAAGCTGGTTTGCCAGAAAAGACAGCCTTGATGAGATGGAGTTGGTCAAGTCAGTGGTTCTGAGATCCTAGGTCCGTGGGGTGGAGGTCGGCTGCACCGTGTTTTGCATACATACTGCAGTAAATACAGCTCGGGGCCAGGCATTTTTTAAGTTGATTAAAACTGGTTTAGTAGGTTCTTTGTTTGATTTTGGTTTCGATATTATGGTATCTACTGTGGTCCTGGCACATACTTTACTGCCAACGTCAAAGTTTATTCTTAGATAGTACTGATATCAAACTGTAAGCAGGACAGAGTATCTGGATTTATAGGCGGAGTGTGTAAGTGATGGTGAGTTTGGTTTCTGGATGTATCTTCAAAATTTGTCTTTATGGTTACTGCTTTTAGTACAGAAGACAGCAATGATGTAAAATGTGCGTGTTCAATAACTTTGTCTTGTTTTTCTTTTTTTTCCCCCCTTTCTTTTTCCTCCTCCTGTATTTTAGCATATGTTCCTGAGGAGGAATTGAAAGCAGCAGAAATAGATGAAGACAGCGTGGAAGATGATGGGCTGTCTCTGGACATCCAGGAGAATGAGTATTTGTGCAATGAAGAAGCGGAGATCAAAGAGGCTCAAAGCTACCAGAACTCCCCAGTCAGCACTGCAACTAATCAGGATGCAGGCTATGGTTCGCCGTTTAGTGAAAACAGCGATCAGCTGGCCCATTTCAAAAGCACTTCCTCTAAAGAAGAGAAAGAGGATCCTCAGTGCACAGACAATGTTTCCTATCCACAGGACAGCTTGGCACAAATAAAAGCTGTGTATGCAAATTTGCTTTCAGAGACTTGCTGGTCCAGTTTAGCTTTGGACTTAAAGAAATCCAATCAAACCACCAGCAACAATGGAATCAGCCAGAATGAAAACACCACCAGTACTGACACCAACACCAACTCCCAGAGTACTAGCACTACCAGTACCAACACTAATACCAGTACGACTACCAGTAGTACTAGCAACAGTAATAATAACAGTAACAGTGGTGGCTCAGGTTATGACTGGCACCAAGCTGCAGTTAGCTAAAACTTTGCAGCAGACCTCGTCATATGGACTTCTCCCAGAGCCTAGTCTTTTCAGCACAGTACAGCTTTACCGGCAAAACAATAAACTTTATGGGTCTGTGTTCACCGGTGCTAGTAAGTTCCGTTGTAAAGACTGCAGTGCAGCCTATGACACACTGGTGGAGCTAACAGTGCACATGAACTGAAACTGGACATTACCGTGATGACAACAGAGACAAAGAAGCTGATAAGACCAAACGGTGGTCAAAGCCAAGAAAAAGATCACTTATGGAAATGGAAGGCAAAGAGGATGCTCAAAAAGTGCTGAAGTGCATGTACTGTGGGCATTCGTTTGAGTCCTTGCAAGACCTCAGTGTCCATATGATAAAAACAAAGCATTACCAGAAAGTGCCTCTGAAGGAGCCAGTACCAGCCATCACTAAATTGGTCCCTTCTACCAAAAAAAGAGCACTTCAGGACTTAGCTTCACCTTGTTCACCGGAGCCAACAGGGATCACTGCAGAAGCTTCACTGGGTGAATCTGCAAAGGATCAGAAAACTGCCAACCCCTACGTGACTCCAAACAACCGCTATGGCTATCAAAATGGTGCTAGCTACACTTGGCAGTTTGAGGCACGCAAAGCCCAAATACTGAAATGCATGGAATGTGGCAGTTCCCATGACACGCTGCAGCAGCTCACTGCTCACATGATGGTCACTGGTCATTTTTTGAAGGTGACCAATTCAGCTTCCAAAAAAGGCAAACAGCTAGTACTGGACCCTGTGGTGGAGGAGAAGATACAGTCTATACCTCTTCCACCCACCACCCACACAAGACTACCAGCTTCCAACATTAAAAAGCAGCCTGATTCACCAGTGGGCTCCACAAACTCAGAGGAAAAGAAAGACCCAGAGAAGGAGAAAGTGGTGGTCAGTGAAACAGAGAAAAAGATTAAAGAAGAGAATGAGGACTCTACAGAGAAATTTGAGCCAACGACTTTGTATCAGTATCCTCAGAGAGGAGGACCTAGATGACAGTCCTAAAGGCGGAATAGACATATTGAAATCCCTTGAGAACACGGTGACAACAGCTATCAGCAAAGCTCAGAACGGAGCACCTTCCTGGGGAGGGTATCCCAGTATTCATGCAGCTTACCAGCTCCCAGGAACAGTCAAACCCCTTCAGCCCGCTGTGCAGAGTGTTCAAATGCAGCCATCTTACGCCAGCAGTGTAAAATCACTGTCTTCAGAACATAATGCACTCATCCATTCCCCAGGCAATCTTACACCACCGCCTCACAAGAGCAACGTATCTGCTATGGAAGAACTGGTAGAGAAAGTTACAGGTAAAATCAGCGTGAAGAAGGAAGAGAAGCCTCTGGAGAAAGAGAAGAGTTCTCCAGTTAAACCCATGTCACCTGCTGCTAAAGAAAACAAAGACTTCCCCAAATCAGAAGACACGAATAACAAACAGCAGCAGAAAAAAAGCTCTGAGACAGAAGTTCAGAAGGTCAAAAAGGATAGTCCAGCAGAAGCACATACACCGAATGGTACAGAGCCACTAAAAACAAAGGTTGCAAATGGCTGTAACAATTTAGGAATCATCACAGACCATTCACCTGAGCCATCCTTCATTAACCCGTTGAGCGCTTTACAGTCCATTATGAATACTCACTTAGGCAAAATTTCTAAGCCAGTAAGCCCCTCTCTGGACCCTTTGGCCATGCTGTACAAAATTAGCAACAGCATGTTGGACAAACCCATTTACCCAACCACTCCGGTCAAGCAGGCTGATGCTATTGACCGGTATTACTATGAGAACAGTGATCAACCTATTGATTTAACCAAGTCCAAAAACAAACCTCTTGTTTCCAGTGTGGCTGACTCTGCCTCGTCTCCGCTAAGGGAGAGCGCCCTGTTGGATATTTCTGATATGGTGAAGAACCTCACAGGGCGTTTGACACCCAAGTCTTCAACTCCATCTACTGTGTCGGAGAAGTCGGATGCTGACGGGAGCAGTTTTGAGGAAGCTCTGGATGAACTGTCGCCAGTACACAAGAGGAAGGGCAGACAGTCCAACTGGAACCCTCAACATCTTCTGATCCTTCAAGCCCAGTTTGCTTCCAGCTTGAGGGAGACCCCAGAAGGCAAATACATTATGTCGGACCTAGGTCCACAAGAGCGGGTACACATCTCTAAGTTTACTGGTCTTTCCATGACCACAATTAGCCACTGGCTGGCCAATGTGAAGTATCAGTTAAGGAGGACAGGTGGAACCAAATTTTTAAAGAATTTGGACACAGGACATCCTGTTTTCTTTTGCAATGATTGTGCCTCTCAGTTCAGGACTGCTTCTACATACATAAGTCACTTAGAGACACACCTAGGGTTTAGTTTGAAGGATCTGTCAAAGTTGCCACTTAATCAGATTCAAGAACAGCAGAATGTTTCAAAAGTCCTCGCAAACAAGACTTTGGGCTCACTTGGAATAGCTGAGGAGGACTTAGGCTCCACATTCCAGTGTAAGCTCTGTAACCGAACTTTTGCAAGCAAGCATGCAGTCAAACTGCACCTTAGTAAAACACATGGCAAGTCCCCAGAGGACCATCTGATCTATGTAACTGAGTTAGAAAAACAATAGCGTCCAGGTAAGCAGCCAGGTATGCAAGTGACCACAGGAACATTGCACTAAACTTCTTCATAGTACTGCACTAGGCCTGACCTGAGCCTCTGAAATCAGTCTTACTTTTGTTGCTGAACTGCCTATCTGGACCTTGGTTTTTCTTACACTTATTTTGTAGTTATATTTATATGCTCTTTGTCTGATCTGTGCATGGTTATTTTTGTTTCTGTTTTTATTTTTTGTGAGTCAAAGTCTGACCTTTATTTTCAACATCTGTCCTTGATGTTAAGCTATCTTTTGTAGAATATAGTGGGAGACACTATTGAGAGACATTAATTTAGCCGTAAAGAAAGACACAAAGAACAATGATAAAGAGACATCCTAAAATTACAAAGTTGCCATGACAATAAAGGTCACAGAACCTGGTAGTGTCAAGTTTTAACCCTCTGAGAACTGTAATAGCATTTCTGTGCCTTTCCCAGTGACTAAATAAGTAAATAAGGAAAAACAAAACAAAAGGCTTAAAAGCATTTCATTCAAATAAAAGCTGTGTCAGAAACAGAACTTATTTTTTTTAAATGAATGAGCTATTTTTTTTTTTTTTTTTTTTTTTTTTTTTTAATGCAGAACTGGTTTGTGAAGAAATTGTGCATGCAGTCCTTGGAAGAAGGAGAACTGTGTAGTACACAAGGGGTTAGGAAGCCACAACTGTATAAGTTAAATAATAATTAAAAAATAAATAAACCAAGTTGCCACTATGCCCAAACCCTCTGGATGCTGAGAATTGCCACTTTTTGGCCAAAAAAGAAAAAAAAAAGAAAAAAAAAAAAAAAGAAGGTATGCAAGCTGTTATTTAAAACAAGTGTAAAAATGCTCCTTTCTTTCCTTTTTTTTTTTTTTTTCTTTTTTTTTTTTTTTTTTTTTCCTGTAAAATACTGCAGTTTATAGTTATTTACAAATGTTAAGCTTTGGTACAAGCTGACCTTTCTATAGTGTGCTGCATTGGTAAATGAAAACAAAAAAATGGGGCAAATGTTGGATTCTGTTCCTTGTAAATTGCCAGCATCAGCTTAAAAAATACATGTTACATATCGTACCATTTTAAACTGTTCAACTTTCTTTGTACCTTCTGGCTGTATGCTTTCTCTTTTAACTTTTTATATTGTCATTTTATATTCGATTTCTGTGTATATAATGTAAAACCACACTTTTTGAATAAAATTTAGTTCCTGCAGCTTGATATAAATAGAGAAATTTTACTGGCACCTGCATCTTTCCAGATGCATGTACTTAAAGGAACTATCTGACAAAAAAAATAAATAAATAAAAATAAAGCAAGCAATGCACTATGAATTATACATTTTGATGTTTTATCATTAATATTGTACAGTACATTTTGGTTCACACAATTAAATCCACTGTTTTCTCAAGTGTAAAATAAACCCACATGCAGTTCTTGATTTACATACATTGTCATGTCGTCATTATATTGCCTTTGAGGTGTTATTCCAGCAATAAGAGGTATCGTTTATATAATCAACCAGCAAAAATCTATTCGAAATCATCTCTCATGATCTGTATGCTGACGTGTTTCACTCTAAGCCATAATACTAATAACCTCTTAAAAGAGATTTGCCATGGATTCATACTCAGAAAGGTACTCGGAAAGGTACTCGAAATCACTGGGGCTCCACAGGTCCTCTGTTCAGCACTGAAGTATAAGAAGGGGTACAAAGTCTTTTGCGAAGTTAATTTTCCTGTGCTGTTTGACTGTACTCGTAGTTATTTTCTGTGTTCATTCAAATACCGTCTCCTCCCTTCTTCCTCAGGCAAAACACCTTTTGATTTCAGCAGTCACATAGTAAGATGCTATGGCTTCTGCCCCTCTAGTCTGTTGAATGCTGTGCTACTTGCCTTTCTGGCAGCAGTGAAGACCTCTGAGGCTTTGACACCAGTTTTTACTTACAGTACAAGAAGACAGACCTATGTTTCTCTGTACTTTTTAAATATTACATTTTGAGGTAAGCTGAGTGCTATCATATCAGGTGTTTCCCTTAATCTTTATTTCTGTTCTGTTGAATGCAGATGTCATTTAGAATGTAAAAGAGAGCTGTCAGAGCCTTCAGTACTCTATCTCCTGAGTGCTTTGACAGTTACAGTGTATGAAAGCCTGGGATATGCTATCCATTACACTTTTTGGAGGGGCTATTAAATATGAGGACCTAGAGGGGTTTGCTTTCACATAGTATTAGTGATAATATTGTGCTATGTACACTTCTGTGTACATATCTATATTTCTGCTCCTCCTCCTTAATTCTTCTGAAAATAATTTAAATATAAGATCTTTGCCTCCAAATACAACCCAGTTACACATTTAATCTTTAGTTTAGTTAGAACCCTGGAAATACCACACATTTTTTTTTCTGTTTTCTGCACAAGCCTAGTGGGTCAAGGTCAGGTACATTTACAGTGTTTCTAACTAGTGCAGGAAAGCGCCATGAGTTGCTTTTTTTTTTTTTTTTTTTTTTTTTTAATGTCCCTTACTTTCTTCACTGCTAACTACCTATGTCCTTCAGGGGATCTAGCCATTTAGACATTTCAGTTCAATTACTGGATGATTATGTACTTCGGGCCCAAGGGGTGGTGAAGAAGAATAACAGTCAGGCCTATGGCTGTAATACAGAGTCTTTAAATAATAACCCTTTGAAGTTTTGTTTACTTTACCACAGGCCTGCAAACATATGATTATAGAATATGCTGTATTACATTGCAGTAGTGGGTGAAAAGGTTGAAAGGGAGAAATAATAGCTCTAAAGTGGGTTTGAATCTAATGTAAATCCATTAAAACTCATTTTGAAACACGGCATGTAAAGTGAGTTCTCAACACCAGGTGACTCCCTCGAGAGGTGTTTATGACATTGCTAAATCCGTTCAGTTCTGATAGCTTCAGAATTGGACAATCACTCATCATCTGTGCCAGTGTCTGAAGAAAGTCCATTTAGAATATACCAGCAGTTTTACTTAGAGACTATGCTGATGTAACATTTTCTAAGTCTGAAATATGAAGTAGATGAAAATTTTGAGGGCTCTGGTGTTTTACTTGCTTAACAAAATGAAGCACAAAGACAGTATGATCTCATTCTTTGGATTTTTAATGCTTTTGAGTACTGCATTTCTGAAAAAAAAATATTAAAAAATGCACACAAGTTAAATCTGAGTTAGTTACTCTTCACATCAAAATTGGCGTGCACTTTTATTTCTTGTTTCAAAAAGGTTTCAACAAAGGTAAGTTTGTGCTATTCTATTAGTAGGTACTAAAGCTACAACATGGAAGAGACCACACAACCTTTCAGGACTTCTCTTGAAGAAAAAAGATGTAGGAGCTTTGAGAACCATAGTATTCTCTGTAAACCTGTAAACCTGTTCTGTGACTTATTCAAAATCCACTGTATCTGTTTCTTTTCAAAGTTGTATGCAGCTGCTGCATTTTTTTAAGCAATACATTGCCGGTGTTTACATGCTTGCTTCTATCTGTTCTTAGAGGGAAAGATCTTGGTTTTCTTGGTTTGTCAGTTTCACAGGTCTGACTTTCACTTCTGTGCACTTTTTTTTTTTTTTTTTTTTTTTGTATTGCTGTTTTGGCATTGATGCATACCATTGCAAATTTGAGAGATCTGTGTACTGATGACATTATTCCTGAATGAAATGATTTTTTTTTTTCCTCTTTCCTTTTTAATAGCATTTGGTTGGATATTCACTAATGTCTTCTGCAACATAACTTTGTTACACCTTTCTCTGGATAGTTACGCTGGTAATAATGACACCATACATAATCTGTCCTTATCATAGAGGCCACTAATATGCAATTGCAATTAGGTATAAAGGCATAAAAATATGCACATTATCTTGCATTAGACTAATCAGCGCATAGTGCATCAGCTTTTGCCTATGATTTATAAAGCCATCTCAGAATTTGAGTGTGTTATTATTCTTTATATGGCAGGGGTCCTGGTTAGAAGACCTCTAAGGAGAGGCCAGTTTCCATGTGGAGTGTTCTCACAGCTCTGTAGGTGTTGGTCTCCTCACTGATTCAGTATTGAGTTACTCTCCCAGCATGAAAGTAACAGGAAATGGAATTTTACCATCTGTTCACTGAAATTTAAAACGGGGTCCCTTTCTGTCCATGTATGAGAAAAGAAGGCTAACCCCAATTTACTAGCCAAACACTAATTTAAATAATGTGATTCTTCCAAATTTTTATTTTCCCTACTGTTCTGAATTTGTTTTCATCATGTTTCATGTGGTTTTGTATAGCTTCTCTTCATCAGTGTGTGTAGTCATCTTCATCCTAGAGGTAGGTATAGTGGCTGCGTTTAGGGATGAAAGATGCTCTTTTACTTAAAGGTGATATTGTAGCTAAGGGAATAAAACAGTATTCAAAACTGTGTTTTGAAAAAGGAGAATATTTTACCAGTCTATTTAGATGATACAGGTTACCTAAGGTTAGGTTCTTTTATGAAACGTACTTCTTTATCCAGCGTCTTCATTAGCTGTAATTTTTTCACTAGTGTATAGCAACACTGTTTTTAGAATAGTTTAGCACCAAGAGATCAGAACTGCAGACACTGATACATGGCTAATGGAGTTACTCATTTTCAGACAACCAGTGTTGGAATAGATGATGATTATAAAAGCCTTCCCACTGTGAACGAGGAGCTCCAGTTACTCTACTGTGAAGATCACTTTTTTTGCATTCCTCTCTTCAGTCCTGTCTAGTGACCTGCTGAGTCAAGGGTCAGCATGGTCAAAATATGTCTAGCGAGTTTTTATCCTAATTACTGTAGTTGTTGCCTCTTTTCTTTCTTCTTTTTTTCTTTCTTCTTTCCTTGTAAAAAATATGAAGTTTAATTTTGATTAGCTATGGTCCATCTTGTGTTTTTTATTTGTTTTGTTTTTATTTTTCAGTGTTTCTTACTTCTGGTTAAACTTCTTAATTTTTTTTTTGTTTGTTTGTTTTAGGATTAACTGTTAAAATTATTGTTCTCAAAAAAGCATTTTCGTAACTAAATTGTTCAAGACATAATGTCTTGACAATCAGTACAACATAGTTCTAAAGAAATTTAATATAGTGACTGTATGTCTGTCCAGAGTTGTGGTGTCACCATTGGCTGAAGAAGGAGATAAAAGCCTGACAGATTCCGGATCAGGTTTGTAGATGCAGGACACCTGCAGCTAAATGCCACATGGTCACTATGGTAAGGAGGGTTGAGTCTGGTTGCCTGCAGCCCATCTGCAGAAGTAGCCCAGAGCTAATTCATGTGCTAAGAACAGCCTACATGATGAAACCTTAAGGGATGATGGGACCTATTAAGCAAATATAAGCCAATCTTCAAGACCATGCAGTTGGAAATCATCTGTCGTGGCATGTATGGCAACTTGACTGGCCTTCTGCCTAGTGTGTACAGACTGAAGTTTGTATTTGAGCTTGTCTGAGAAGCACA